GTGCTCTATAGTTGTGCCTGTCATCTGCTGACAACTGTCCAAGTATTTCCAGTGGTTGTCCCTTCAGGCTTGTTGCAAGGTACACTGCTTTCTGCTCCTCTGTCCATCCATTCATTTTTTGCCAGTAGCTCAAATTGTGCTCTATATGCTTCCCACGGTGCCTTCCCATCGAATTCCTGTGTCTTCCTTCGTACTGGATCATCCCTATTGGTGACATTCATGTCTGGGATGTGACTTCTAACAGGACTGAAGATGTCTGCATTAGGGTTTAGCTATTGGAAGGGGCTTGCTATTGTCTGAGGATGATTAAGTCGATGGTTAATGTATCCTCCTTGTGTAAAAGACAATAAATCATCCTTTACTGTATTTAATTCGCTTTGAAATTTACTAATGTTTTCCATTTGTACTTTTTGCCAATGTTGTTGATTTTCTTGTAGTTGCTGCTGACTTTCCTGCAAATGTTGGAGACTTTCTTCCTGTTTCCTTTCTTGTTCCAGTTGCCACTGCTGTAACCTCTCTTCTTGTTTCTTTTCTCATACTTCTTGTTTCTTTTCTTTTTCCTCCAACAACTAATGTAATCTCTCTTGTTTATTTTCTTTCTCCTCCAACCACTGCTGTAGTCTATCTTATTGTTTCTTTTCTCGTTCTTCTTGTTTCTTTTATTTTTCCTCCAATAACTGCTGTAATCTCTCTTGTTTATTGTGCTGTTCGAGCTGCCATTGTTGCAGGTTTTCTTGCAACTGCTGTTGTCTCTCTTCTTGTTTATTTTCTAGTTCTTCTAGTTTCCTTTGTTGTTCTTGTAGTGCTGCCATCAAATCTGCTAAGCTGTAGTTTGATTTGCCACTTCTCGTTTCCATTTTTTTCTTTTCCGTCCCACTCTCTGACACCAATTTGTTACGTCTCTGGTCGTTAGCTTGTTAATTTTCCGTAAAAATTCTTTCCGATGAAACTTTAGAGATACAAGTCCTTTCTTAAATAAAACTGGTTTATTCTTTCTGAATACAACTTTGAAATTCACATAATTTCCACGGTCACGCTATAACAAACGCTATAATTCACAACGAACGACTCACGTGCTCGACTCAATCGTCAATCTCTATCTCTGTCTGCAGTTCAATTACATTGTTGCCGTCACTTCTTGGCCGTCTTATATACAAGAATACCGTACATCTAGTAAACACTCCAGGCTTCAGGAACCTTCGAGAATATGACGTGTTACTAGAGTCACGTGACCCCAGCTGTCGTAACAACTTGTATAGACACTGTCAATACATTTGACTTACAAAAAATCATTTCAGTAAATGTTGTAGATAGAACGTCTTCATTACAGCTTTAAAGAAAACAAAACAGTAGAGTGATTATGAATCTAACTTCTGCAGAAATAGCAACTAGATGGATTTATGCTAATACAGAATGATTTTTACACTATAACACCAACCTTGCACATACAACAGTTTTATACACATGCTATTCGAGTAAAACTTAGTAAACTCAAACATTTACCTTAACATTATTAACTCAAAATTATATTTTCTAACGTTATTTAAATTACTAATATTTTTGCATGTTAGGAATAGATGAACACCAAAATATAACAAAATGGTATATCTAGTCAAACTACTTATAGTTTAACACTAATTAACTTTATCTTATACTAATATAAGTTTTACTCTATAATACTGGAGGGTGGCACGTCATCATCGGTCCATGACTCATCTACTAAAATCAGTTTATAATCCTGGCAAATAGGAATTTGTGGCAAGTGACAACGAACAGAAGAAAGTTCAGTCAGTGCTGAATTTTCTGAAGAAATGAAGAAATCAGACGAAGATGAAACATAAACACACTTAAAAGATGTTGATGATATATTCTTGACCTCTGCAATTAGCTGGAAAAAAAAAAGTGTTCATAAATCATCTGCTATGAAGAATTAAGTATAATTCTCATTATAATGTATAATAAAGATAATATTTAAATTCAGATATAAGTACATCAATTCAAGACAAATGTTTTATGGTTTAAGTTAAATAATTCTTTTTCACATATGATTTTAAAGAAAACTCAAGTGAAGTTATGGTCTTGTTAAATAATATTTTCTGAATAAACTTTTATACAATTTGTATTTCTTTCTTTAGTTCATATTGCTATAGAAAAATTAACATGTTAACAAATGTTCGGGAAGTGTATATAGCTATAAATAATGTTTTACAAATACATAGATTACTCCAAAGTTCTTGAAATCTTATTTTCCTTATCATTTTTTCTTTTAGTTCCTTCACTAAAGTATATATATATTAGCCATACGTCTGTCTGTCACGTATCTCCAGAATGGTTAATCATACAAAAATATAATACATATTATTTTTTTTTAAAAGCATTAATCCGTCAGTCTTCGTATGTAATGAACAGTCAGTTTGAAAACAAAAAGAACAAAAAGTTTTTTTTGTGTGTGAGGGAATTTCACGGGAAAAATGGACTTCCTGATTGCAAGAAATATTATAAAGAAATGAGCATGAACGCAATAACTCATGAAGAGAGGAACGTGTTTGAGCATATATTTTTTGTTCTTTGGTTTATTTGTATACTTTTTTTATTCTATTTTATCTTTTCATGTCCGTATTATATATAGGCATGGTTTTATTGTACCATGTCAAATAAATTGATTTGACTTGAATTAAATATCTTCCCTTTGACTCTTCTTATAGAAATGACAACTGTTATAAAATCACTCACTTTAGTAACAGTTTTTCCTTGCACTCAGTTTAATTACAAGGAAGGGTGGCATCCTGTGAAAAACATTCCAGCGGCTACTTAGAGCACCTGAGCACTTTCTTGTGCTGAGTGTACCTATTGTATCGAAACCCAATAATTTTTGCCAACAATACATTACAGTCAGTCTCCATTGCTTAAAAACAAATGCAATACAATTTTGCTTATTTAAATAACACATGGAATGACATTGTACGCAACCCCTAGACAATTTTTTTATATACCCTCTGATCCAATGCATTGGGCTGACTTCATATTTCATACTTATTACGAAAGTTGTCATTGAATTGTTTCAATGGGCATTGCCTAGTGTTTAATATCTCTCTTATCCCAAGACACAATATTTTACCGTTGAATTGTTTCAACAGGCACCAGCTAGAGTTTAGTAGTTCTCTAGACCAAAAACACAATATCTCACCATTGAATTGTTTCAACGGGCATCTGCTAGTGTTTAGTAGTTCTCTAGACCAAAAACACAATATCTTACCATTGAATTGTATCAATGGACATCTGCTACTGTTTAGTATTTCTCTAGACCAAAAACACAATATCTTACTGTTGAACTGTTTCAACAGGCATCTGCTAGTGTTTAGTAGTTCTCTAGACCAAAAACACAATATCTCACCATTGAGGTTGATTCCATTTGTGATCTATACCAAAACAGTTAACAATTACATATTTATTATCTTTGAGTAAGTTGTCTTGCATGCCGCATTACATGTTTTCCCGTTAAGCCAAAATTAATTGAAGTTCATTGAGGAAGTTTTATTAAAAGTATTTCCCAAAACTGGTGCTACTCATAATTACATAATTTCTTTAAATTAAATTCCTGTTCATCGTATGTATAAAAAGTCTATATATATTACTTAAAGTAAATAACACTGTGCTTGTGAATTTTAGTGTTTATATTTTTAGTAGCTCAAATAGAGAAGTTTTATCTTAAGTATGTTAACGACTACAACAGTTGCTCAGCAAGTGATGTTATACTTTTTATATGTTAAAAAAGACTGAAATTGGATTTATTTATGATGTGTATTTTTGTACTTCTGATTCAGGACTTGTTGGAAGTTCTCTGGTACTAAAAAGGACAATTTTATAGAGTTCACAGGGATAAATCACCAGATTTTACCCTTTTGTATAGAGTAAGTTTAAACAGAGCCCATTATATTAAATCTTCTATCAATTTCAGATAACAAATAAGCTTTATTTCACATGTGTTTTTCGTTTAAAAATAAATTACAGACTTACCTATACACTTGTTGTTTTGTTTAATAATAAACTAAGACTTATCTATATACTTATTTTGTTTAGTAATAAGCTAAGACTTATCTATATATATTTGTTTTGTTTCATAATAGACTAAGACTTATCTATATACTTGTATTGTTAAATAATAAACTACAGACTTCTCTATATACTTGTTTTCCTTATTAATAAACTACAGACTCATCTGTATACTTGTTTTGTTTAATAATAAACTACAGACTTATCTATATACTTGTTTTCCTTAATAATAAACTACAGGCTCATCTGTATACTTGTTTTCCTTAATAATAAAATACAGACTTATCTATATACTTGTTTTGCTTAATGATAAACTACAAACTTATCTATATACTTGTTTTGCTTAATAATAAACTAAGTCTTATCTATATACTTGTTTTCCTTAATAATAAACTAAGACTTGTCTATATACTTGTTTTGCTTAATAATAAACTAAGACTTGTCTATATACTTGTTTTGCTTAATAATAAACTAAGACTTGTCTATA